GCCTTTAATGCAAGTTTTGCCCCAGGTGGACCTTGTGGGGCACCGATAAAAATATACAACAACCAATAAAAACAAAGTCGGGTCATAAGTCACTCCCATACATTACACACAATCCCTTCCCTCTGCTCAGGAGATAATTGAGTTACCGTATTTATCGGCGTATAACACGCACCGGCGTATAACACGCACCTCATTTTAAGAAGGAAATTTCAGGAAAAAAAAACTTAAATTTCAAATAAAGAACTTCTTACCCCCTTCTTACTCCCCCCTCCCCCTCTTCTTACCCCCCTTTCTTACTCCCCCCTCCCCCTCTTCTTACTTCCCCTTCCCCCTCCCCCTCTTACTCCCTTCTTACTCCCACCTCCCCCTCTTCCTCCCCCTTCCCCCCTCTTCTTACCCCCTTTCTTACTCCCCATCCCCCTCTTCTTACTCCCTCCCCTTCTTACTCCTCCCTCCCTCTTCTTACCCCCTCCTCTCTATTTACCTCCTTCTTACCCCCCTCTTCTTACTCCCTCTTCTTACTCCCCCCACTCTCTTTTACACCCCACTTCTTTTTCCCTCAGCGTGGCGAGCTGTTGGGGTGTCGGAGTGATAGAGGTGGCCAGTGTGCACCTTCCTGTCAGTCCGCCGGTTACAGGAAACAGAAACTCCAGCGGGAACAGGAGTTTCTGTTTCCTGTACCCGGTCGGACTGACAGGAAGGTGCACACTGAGCGTGCACCTTCCTATCACTCCGGCCGGGCACCGCGGACAGCAGAGCAGCTCGGCCACGCTACAGGGGAGGGGAGGTGAGAACCAACTGCAGCCGCCTGACCGCTCTTGACAGAGCGCTCAGGCGGCTGCAGCATTTAAAGGTCCGGCGTATAACACGCACCCATAATTTGCCCCCTATTTTCACGAGAAAAAGTGCGTATTATACGCCAATAAATACGGTAATTACTGTATGAACTCAATTATCTCCAAACAGAAACATTTTCATACTTTCTGAAAATACCCCCAAAACATGTCATACATTCATAATTCCAACATCCCCTGATAGCCCCGATCTTAGGGAGCAACATACTGAAAAATCACCCAGGTTGGTTCAGGGGTTCGAAAGTTTCATGGAGGTCTTATTTTACGACCGCACACAAGGTGTAAGCCGAGATTAGTTCCAGGGGTGTGGGCTGTGCGGTCGGTCTCTGTTCGGGAAGTTGAAATGCATGAAAATACATCAAAGTATGGTTTGTGTCTTAGTTCGTGAAATTCCTCTCATTCGTGTAATCCTTTCTACCGAATGCCGCTCTGTTCCCTTGTGTTTCCCCGAACTTATACGAGGATGGAAGTCTCTGCGGTGTTCGTGCCGTTGAGTGTCCGATTTGAGTTCCAGACACTCGACGACCAAACACCGCTGGCATAATTCGTATGCTAACATGGCCACCGCCATGTGTTCGTATGACGAATGGCGGCCACCTAGGAGATCAACAGGTTTGTTCGTGTGTTTGCAATCAGAAAGTGTGAACCCGGTTAGTTCTCGCATGGGTGGCCTGGTTGTTCAGTATTTAGTTTTTTTGCCGAACTATATATTAGAAATAGCTGAACAGAGGGATATTACCAAACAACCAGACGAATAATACAAAATGATAGCATGTTACTTGTTCCTACAGTTGCAATCATAATAAAATAAAGCAACAAAAAGGGGTTATGGACAGCCTCTAGTATCAAAGGTGGATAGTAGCAAAACCCATTCCGCTACACTGGTTTTATCAGGTTGCCAGGTTTGTTTGATTTGGTAGTTTTGGTCAGTTTAAGTATGTGCGCTCCACAGAAAAAAATACCAGCAAATAGGTATAATAGCACACTAAATATGATAACTGGGAATATTCGTAATCAACGCAGGACTAAAATTTCAACAATGAACAAAAATTTATTGACATTAAAATGTGTCAAAACCTCTCATAATTCTGACCACAAGAACAATATATATAAACTTCCCACAACTGGCTACAGTATCAAGTAAAGACAAGCCGCATGTAACAGCCTAAAATGGGAGGTTTATAAGAAAAAGGAGGTATCACTCCTAGATGTGGAACTGCTGGAGCGAATACTATATATACATAAACAGGGTCAGTAAAGAGCACACTGAATCAGTGTAAACAACGTCCGACCTACAATAACAAACAATAGGAACATGAGAAATATAGCGAGTAATAAAAAAATAAATATGTGAGTGAAATGTAGAGGATCGACGCAGCACTCTATGTCTGGCGCCTGACATTTATCAGTTCCCCTTCTATCGGGACCCAATTCAAACTTTGCGCCTAAACCAAGCAACAACCAATCAGCGGAAAGGCGTGAAACCAAATCGCGCCAATCAGCTCACAGGGAGGAAAGGAGTTTCGCCACCCAATCAACATAACAAATAAATAAAGATATATACAGATATAACAAATATATAGTGCTAGCACAATAAGAATAATAAAAAAAAAATGTTATCCCCAAAGAGTACCTGACGGCGGAGAGGCCCTGCGGTATATGCATTGGAGGGCCAAGTCCCAATGGAAGGGGAACTGATAAATGTCAGGCACCAGGTAGAGAGAGCTGCGTCGATCCTCTGTTACTCCTGCAGCCGCCGTTGGATGGTAACGGCTGACAGAGAGACATGGGGTAATGAAGGATACGTGCCGTGGCCTGTATCCTTAAAAAAAGGCCGCAGCTTTCTTAAAGGCATAATGCACAGCAAACTTTATCCAGCTGATCTAAGAAATTCATCAGGTAATCCGTCTATGCGTTTCGTCTCTATTGAGAAACTTTATCAAGCTAACACTTTATGAGAAACATTTTTTTTGATAGAATTATGAGAGATTTTGACAATTGTAATGTTTTACTTGATACATTTTAGTGAAGAGACAAGGATTGAGTGCCCTAATTGAGGTAAAACTTAACTTTTATTATTATCAATGCAAATAAATGAAAAGAAAATATTCAATTTAAGTTGTGCATTTGTGCTCAAGGTGAAAGTAAAAAACCGAATCTATATACAATTGGTAAATTATATTACCATGTCCAGTGTTTAAGTATCACTGGCAAATCAGTTAAAACAATGTATCGGTATACCATTAATAACGTTTCCTAGGTTGTGGTATCAAAGTTATAATTATTCATAATATGAAGTGATGCTTAGATTGTTAGATAATGCGTTTAAATCTGTATTCGTGCGGGAAGGTCTCCCTGCTTGTGATAATACAGAGTTACGCCAAGGTTGTTCAATAATACATATAAATCTGTGCTCATTTAGTAAGGTCTACTATCAATTTGTTTTATGGGTATTTTCTAATCTCTAATAAATAAATAATACATTTATTGTCATGTTGAGGACGTATAATGTAGATAGAAGGATTTAAAGGAAAGCGATGAATATTCGGCCCGAAATAGCCTGATAATTTTTGTCTGTTATATTGCCATATCACTCTGAAGATCGATGGTGTACTGGGATTAAATAGTAATGTTACTGTGCCTTTAAGGGCACCTATAGTAATTATACAGATCGGTTCTAAATAGTAACCGAACTGGACTGTTCCCCTCTGAAGAGCTGTGGATGAAACGGGCGCGTCAGTGGCGCTCGGTGATCCTGGTAGACAACTAAATGTAAGATCTTATTATTAGATCAGGAACGGTTTGTTAATTTAACCAGGATCCCGAGTCTTTATACATTCATTTAACCAAGTATCTGTGCCTTAGTGATTTAGGAGAGAGATACATAGTATTTAAGGGGATCTCGACGGTCAAGGTAGACAGCTAATTTAAGGCAATAATTATCAGATCAAGAACAGTCTGTTTATTCCACCAGGATCCCGAGCCACTATATATTCAGTCTACTGAGGACTAATTTGTGCAATAGCCATTTAGGAGAACGCTACACAGTATTTTTTTAGTGGGTTAAAATCGAGGATAGGTGCCCTTGAATTCACAGAAGTAGTTTTATACGGTTTCCAGCAACTGGCTTTCCTCTTTTTTTTTATATATTTTGGCATTACAGGAGATTTGGAAATTAACAATCCAGTCCTGTTGCTATTTAGAACCGATCAGTATAATTACTTGAAGGCACAGTAACAGCACTATTTAAATCCCAGTACACCATCGATCTTCAGAGTGATATGGCAATATAAGTAAGACAATAATTTGTCAGGCTATTTCCGGCCGACTATTCATCTCATTCCTTTAAATCCTTCTATCTTCATTATACGTCCTCAACATGACAATAAATGTATTATTTATTTATTAGAGATTGGAAAATACGCATAAGACAAATTGATAGTAGACCTTACTAAATGATCACAGATTTATATGTATTATTGAACAACCTAGGCGTAACTCTGTATTATCACAAACAGGGAGACCTTCCCGCACGAATACAGATTTAAACGCATTATCTAACAATCTAAGCATCACTTCATATTATGAATAATTATAACTATGATACCACAACCTAGGAAACGTTATTAATGGTATACCGATACATTGTTTTTAACTTACCAATTGTATATAGATTCTGTTTTTTACTTTCACCTTGAACACAAATGCATAACTTAAACTTAATATTTTCTTTTCATTTATTTGCATTGATAATAATAAAAGTTAAGTTTTGCCTCAGTTAGGGCACTCAATCCTTTTCTCTTTATTAAAAATTATCCAGTCACCTGGGTTACCCGAGAAAGAGTGTTATCTCTAAGCTGCCTTCTTGTTCTAAATTGTTTTACTTTATATATTTCGGTTTTGGGTTTAGAGATACACCAGCTGTCAATTAACTTTTGTTCATTGTTGGAATTTTAGTCCTGCGTTTATTACTAATATTCATCATTATAATATTTAGTGTACTATTATACCTATTTGTTGGTATTTTTTTTTTCTGTGGAGCGCACATACATATTCCAGTTTTAGATTTTCACACATCTAGTCGCTCATTACACGTATGTTGCTGCCCGAGTTTTCATTGAATTGTCGTTACCCTTTTTAGTAAATTCAAGTTTTGGTCAGTTTGCCAAACTGGGTCAACTTGCCAGATCTGGTTAGTTTGACAGATTTGGTCAGGTTTGTAGGTTTGGTCAGGTTGGTAGATGTGGTTAGGTTGGTAGGTTTGATCAGGTTGGTAGATTTGGTCAGGTTGCTAGATTTGGTCAGGTTGGTAGATTTGGTCAGGTTGGTAGGTTCGGTCGGGTTGGTAGGTTTGGTCAGGTTGCTAGATTTGGTCATAAAAAACAAAGAGAAAGGGCGCTCCTTAAATACAGTTGGTATCAAAAAGAATACACACAATAATATATAGTTAAAAGAAAAGTAAAAAAATATTAAAATATTAAAAGTCCAAAATAATAATCCACAGCCAATAGAGTAGATTCTTGTAGATCAATGGTGGTTTATATTTTCCAATGAAGACTTGTATTTTCAATAGGCCATATGTGGAGAGAAATGGAGATCCAATAGTGCAGTATGCCAATATATATATAAATATATATGTAAAATAATATGATGTACTCACAATTTCCAGAGCTAAAATCCAGCTCTGGTATGAAATGCGTAAAGTGGAATGATCCCCACTCAAGGATATATGGAGTAGTAATTCCTCAGGAGTTCCAACCGAGAATAAAAAAGAGTAAAATACATAGTGCTCACTGAATAACTGGAGTGTAGATAAAAGAGAATATAAAATGTACTCACAATGTACTGAGCACACTTCCTGTTCAGATAATGGCGTATGGGTGGTATAATCCCCACCTAGGGATTCTTTGGCGTTTCCTTAAAACGGTGTAATTCCAAATAGTCAGGTATAAGAGGGTTAAAAATATAAAATGTAATAAAATTAGGAATGTGGCTACAACAAATGTGGTTTTGAGGCCAAAATTCCTTTATTACAATAATATAAAACAAATAAAATAAGATTCTAAATGTGTTTCGCCACAGGTTGGTAGATTTGGTCAGGTTGGTAGGTACAGTCGGTTTGATAGATTTGGTCAGCTCTCCTCTCCTCACTGCTCCGCTAGTAAGACCCACTGAGAGAATGGCTCAATGATTGACATCTCGGCACTCCACAGACTGGCTAAGAAGCTGCTGAGTTGTCACAGGCTACCTAACCTAATAACGGGGATAAATATTCAGCTCATAACATTTCTGCTTTTCACTCCTTCAAGGGCTAAAAATGCTCATAATTCGTGTCATCATTTTTCTCCAGATGAGAACACTTGGTTCACATCTCTTCGTCTTTCATCAAAGTGTGTCAATGATTGTCAGATGTGGTGTTTCATTATTTGTGGCTAATGTCAGCTGAACCTGCTTCTTCCACCACCGGGAGCTGCTTCCCTGGGGGTCACGTGCCCCGTCTCTCCAGCATATTAAGGACCTGCTGGATGAGCAGCACTCACCGCCAGGGTGACTGGAGACACTTGTCTGCCAATTATCACAAAGAATGTGACACATTGCCCGGGTACAATTAGTTCTCTTAGCGTGAGTGTCATATGCGCTCCTTTCACAATCTGCCAACAAGGCAGCTGTGAAAAAAACCTGAAAATCATCACGGCAACATTAACGCTGCCCCTGCTAGGAAATAAAGCAATTGTAGATTGAAAAAGGCCCCGTGGCGTACGCTTCACACAAACAGAAGAAACAAGAAAACAATAACAGCTAGTTCGCTGCTTGTAGTGTTTTTCGAACTGATTGAACTTGAAATTTACTGCATAAAATAACAAAACCCACATTCTACACTGACGTTCCCGAAATAAAGTACTTTTAAAATCTGTTGCTACGCCATGCTGAATTTTTCCCACTAAACTGTTAACCAACTTTCCAATTTTCCTGCTTAATCATGTCAGTGCACAGTTCTATTTTGTATGTTAACTATGTTTTAAAATGTATTGTTATGTTTTTAAATGAGTTTTATGTATAGAATTAGAGTGTTTTTACGCAGTTTCAAAGGAACACCACAGGAACCATAACTGCTACAGTGCTTTCTGATATACTCTGGGTCCCCGACAGAGTGTGTATTTAACTGTGATACATTGTACACTGTAAAATGAATCACAAGGTTTAATCTGACAGACAGAGGAGACAAAATGTTAGAATGGGTTACAAACAAAAACAACTGGCAACATTCATTCCTAATGTTTCCTTCTACGAATCATCTTTGTTTCCTATTAATAGCTGGATCCAGTATGAATCAGTCACTGTCTTCATCACAGTAGTCATAGTTACTTAACGCACACACGTTATCTAATCTGCCTCCTCATTCGATCCGCCAATGGGACGTCATGGTTTAATACATTGTTTAACCCCTTATGGTTCATTGATTTTCCAAGCACATTATGATATAGAGCAGAGATGGCAAAAAAGTTAGTGTCACTTTGTGTATTGCTACAACACGCAGGCTATGTAGGCTTTGCCAGCCTATTTACATGTGTATAGTTTATCCCAGGGATTGTGTACAAGGTTCTACACATATGACATTGATAAGATGTGAGCAGCAGCCCCTGTAAGCACCATAACCACTACTGTGAACTTTAGTAGGAGTGATGCCTGCTGCGTCTGCTGTCTTCTTTAATTAGCCCTGTTGGAGGGCATTTCCACAAGTAGGTCAAAACTCCTCTGTGACGCATCACAATAGAAAAATTTATATTTTAAAAATAGGTTTTTCTGCAAGCAAACTTTGTAGTTAAGTTAGTAGATATTTTTGAACAATAAAATCTTGGTGGTGAAAGGTTTAACATTAATAATCAATATTTAATTAACAGAAATAGCTATTACTGCATAGCGAGGAATAAGAGGGCGAGTAGTGGATACTGGGGTCACGAGGCAGCCGATATTGGATCCCACAATCCTTTGCTTTCGAAAGCAATGGGTGTTAAGAGAAATATAGAGATTCATAATATCTTTTAATTTGTAACTGTGCAGGTCCACATGGTTCAGGAAAATAAATGAATGCTGGGCTAACCACATTCATCCCACATATGCTTTTTTATATGCCTGCATAAAATCACATAAATAGCTGAATTAGGAGAAATTATTGCAGTTTTGATATGGTGTCCAAAAATATTCAAATTATAAATATACATTCTTTATGTAATAACGGCTTAAATAAAATGAATGCTGTTTATAGATTTGCGTTGGTGTGTTTATAACGTGTGAGTGGCTTAGTGAAGGAACGTTTATTGGACCAGTGGGTGCCCAGTCGCTAGTTTTAAATATTTAGTAGACATGCCCCTACCTGCCGCATGGTTTAAAACCTGGGGGTCTTGATTGATTTAATTTTGCTTTTTTGATGCAGTGGCTGGCTAGCAGCTACTGGCCGGCGCCATATATTTAACCCTCGCACCGGATTTTAGCTATTTGCTCGCTGGTGGCTAGCGCTGCCAGGGGGCAAATAGTATTCAAATTATCTTTTTTTTGCAAAAAAGCAAGTGAATGGTAATATGGGAATGTGAGTCCTACTAGATGCATTCGGTCCCTGTTCAGTTTCACATCGGTACATTGTAAATCCTCCCAATCCTATACTTTGTATTTTGCACTTTTAGTCACAGAGCTCTACAGGAATAAAACTCACAGTAATATATACTGTGTATGAGCATATCTCAGAACTCTACAGCAATAAAACCCACAGTAATATATACTGTGTATGAGCATATCACAGAGCTCTATTGCAATAAAACTCACAGTAATATATAATGTGTATGAGCGTATCTCAGAAATCTACAGCAATAAAACTCACCGTGGTATATACTGTGTATGAGCGAGTCACAGAGCTCCACGGCAATAAAACTCACAGTAATATATAATGTGTATGAGCGTATCACAGAGCTCTACAGCAATAAAACTCACTGTGGTATATACTGTGTATGAGCGTATCACAGAGCTCTACAGCAATAAAACTCACCGTAATATATAATGTGTATAAACGTATCACAGATCTCTACAGCTATAAAACTCACAGTAATTCTCACATTTGCATGCTAAACTTGTGAAAAACACCCCTGAAACAAGTGCTGAGAATGAGGTTTTCAGGGCAAGTAGAGGGTGGTTTGAGAGGCTAAAAAGGAGAAGGACAGGCTAACCCTGTTGTTGGGTGGGAATGCGAGTGGGGATTTTAAATTGAAGCCTTTGCTAGTCTACCATTCGGAGAACCCAAGGGTATTTAAGGCAAACCATGTCCTAAAAAGCAAATTGCAGGTGATGTGGAAGACTAACAGCAAAGCTTGGGTAAACAGGCAATTTATTATTGAGGTGTTTACATGAGGTGTTTGGGCCAAGTGTTAAGAAATACCTACAGGAAAAAAACTTACCTGTCATGGCCCTGCTTCTTATAGATAATGATCCTGCTCACCCTCCAGGATCGGAGGACGAATTGATGGAGGAGTTCAATTTTATTACTGTGAAGTTTTTGCCCCCCAATACCGCTCCTCTTATTCAGCCCATGGACCAGCAAGTCATTTCAAACTTCAAGACGTTTTACACCAAAGCACTGTTCCAAAGGGGCTTTGAAGTAACCTCAGACACAGAGCTAACCCTTAGAGAGTTCTGGAAAAATCATTTTAATATCCTACATTGTTTACACCGCATAGCTAAAGTATGGGGGGATGTGTCTTATAGGACCATGAACTCAGCCTGGAGGAAATTGTGGCCAGAGGCCGCCCCTGAAAGAGTATATGACGGTATTGAACAGGACTTAACTGGACTTTAAAAAAAAAAAAAGGTACGTCAGACAAAAAACAGTCGTTAACGACCACAGACGGACCTGGTAAGTCCGATCCCAAATCTGCACTTACCTGATCGCTGGCGATTCCCGCCGGCTATCACGATGTGGGGACTTGCCTGTCATCATAGGCAGTCCCCCTGCGGCTGATCCGCCCATGTGATTGCGGGGTCCCCGTGATCACATGGTCAGAATTGCTGACCATGTGATCATGCCTGCACAAAAATTTAGAAAGTAAATAAAAGTTATTAAAAGTTTCATAAAGTTAATAAAAGTACTTAGATCATATATATACATTATTCTAAGTGTATTTTAATGTTAATATATATATTATATATATTATATATTTATATATTACTATTTGTGAAGAAACAGCACATAGTTTTGGAAAGCAACTGTATTCCGTGTCAAATTGTAAAATGCTGAAAAGACAGTCTGCTAGTTTCCATGGTGATTGCTCCCTATTCAGCAGTTTGCCTCAGTATAGCACCTGCTTGTACCTTGATGTATTTCTCTCATG